CCCCCTTCCCTGCTGTGACTCTGCTAGTTCGGAACTGTGCTGGGACTCATATGTATGCCTGACACCTCTGGGCAGTTAGGAAGGGCAGAAAAGGCTGGAGACTTGAGTGGAACTCTGTGACCTTGGACTGTGTGGGTGGGCCCCGAGAACCAAAAAAGGCCCAAGCCCACTCCCATCGAGTTGTTTCTGACTCAGCAACCCCAGAGGACTGAGTAGACCAGCCTCACCGGGACTCTCAGGCTGGAAACCTTTAAGGAGACAGACTGCCCCCCATCTCCCTGTGGGGTAACTGGTGGGTTTGCACCATCAATCTCCTGCTAAGCCGTGGAGCACTTTACATTGCACCACCAGGACGCCGATTGTTGACCGAGAAGTCCCCTTGAAAGACTAGCGTGTCTGGGCCCTCTTTCTATTGACACATCCTCTTGGGAAGAGATTCGGCATGTACCCTGAGAAGGACCCAGACTGGCCAGGAGGGCTTTACCTTGTGAGGAACTAGAAGGGGTTATGTGGGTGAAATGCCCAAGGGGTCTGGGATGGATGGCAAGGCTGGCCCTGAGCCCCCTGTTCATTCCGAGCCTGGTGTTCTGCAGCTGCACAGAGGCGGCCTGGGGGATTCCTGCTTCTGTGGGAGTCTGCCCCATGAGGTAGGTCTCCCAGGCCTCATTAGTTAAAGAATTTTTCACAGCTTCCCATTGCTGGGGCAGGGGGCCGCCGTGGGGAAGGCTCTGCTGGCTGCAGCCCACCTGACAGTTGTTGGTGACAGGGTTGAGCGAGGGAGAGGAGAATATTGAGACTGCCGTCAAGAATCCCTGACACGCAGAATATAAACATCTCGAAGCATACTGGCCAATTGTCCGACAGGTCTGCCGGACAAAAGCAGCTTGTTATCCCCGGAATCTGTAGTCAATGGTGTGAGCAAGGGGGATTAATTGGATTATTCATCGTGGCTTCTTTGTGCTCGTTGTGCTCACTCCTCTCGGGTATGTAAACTACAGGGCCTTAGGGGTGTGAGGGAAAAACAACTGTTCTTTTAGTTCTCCTAGTAAATAGTCAATTTATTTCACAGCATGTTTTTTTGGCAAAAGAGATCGCTGTAAAAGTATCAAGCTGTGCGACAATAATAAAAAATAATTTGCTCTTATATAACAATTTGAATTCTTCCACATTTGTTGTTGTTGTTGGTGGTGTGTGTGTGTGTGTGTGTGTGTGAGAGAGAGAGAGAGAGAGAGAGATCACGGGCGTCAAGGGGAGTAATTTGTGAGGGACAGGCGATTCCTCCCTGGACCAACTGGGAAGGGAAGGTCCTGTGAGAAGAGGTGACTCGTTTGGTGACTCAGAGATTTTGGCAGAACCAGGAGTAGAGTCCAGATCACTGTGACTTTGAGTTTATTAATACTCTTCTTTCTAGGCCTTTTTTGGTTTTGTTTTGGGATGAATGTATCTATGAATTTTTCTCAGCTGAAGGTCTGTGACTCGCCTGAGATTTTCAACAGGGGCCATGTCCTAAAAGTGCTTCGGAATCTAGCATCGGGGGCTTCTGCCTGGATCAAGGGAACCTGGGGCCTTCCCTCCTCCAGGATCCACCTGGGTAGGTCCTGAAGATACCCGAGGGACTAGTCACAATGGGACCAGTAGCTCCTAGGTTGGAAAGGTGATGGAAACAATTCTGAGGTGGTCGGCAGGATGTAAAGAGGGTACACATTGTTTTGGGAACATCCATGTCTAAGCGGCTCATGGGGAAGGCTGCACATAGGAGTTGGGAGCCTGTATTGGAGCTAAGGTGGAGAGGACGGGAAGAGAGGAGAAAGGAGAAAGCGTGGTTTGGAGCGAGAATGACTTGGGTTGCAGATGTTTTGACGAGAGAGGATTGTGAATCTTTCAGGATTCAGGGTGGGGTATAAAGAAAGCCACCCCCCAAACAAACTCACTGCCATCAAGTCAACCCCAGCTCACAGTGACCTGATAGGACAGGTGGAATGGGCCCTGTGAGCTTCCAAGACCGTTATAGGAGCAGAAGCTCCTCCCTTCTACTCCAAAGCGGCTGGTGGTGTTGGGCTGTGGACCCGCGATGGTTAGCAGCCCAACGGGTATGTTTTCATGCCGTCGTCTGGATGGCGCGGCCCCTCCAGTAGCGCTCCATCCCGTGTGCATGGCCCCTGACCAATGGCAACCCCAAGCACAACCACCACATCCCCGTGAGACCAAAGTACTATGAGTGTTGGGTGCTGATTTCCAGCAGGAGATTGAAACACTTTTCACCCCCCAGCGTCTGACTCTGCAGGTTCTTCTGAAGCCTGTTCAGCAGGACACTGGCCTAAGTGTGGCCTAAGTGGACACACACTTTCTTAGAGGGGGTCCTGCTCTGCTCTGCCAACCATTTTCCATTGACTGGACCTTTCTCTTGCCTCTTCTGCTTTCTCGCCCCCATCAAGTTCCTCTCCACAGGTGCTGCACAACCTCTCCTTTCCTCTGTGGGCTGCCGACAGAAACGCTTCTCCTGTTCTTTCCCTCTCAGAATACTCCAGTGCAGACTAGTACTTCGATGCATAGGGAAGCCCTTTGGGTGCTGGTGCGGATAGGGAATTTATTGGGGTTCACCTCATCCTAGCTACACTTTAGGACAGTGGACAATTGCCCATTGGGCTTTCCTACGCTGAAATCTCTGCAGGAGTAGATCACCAGGTCTTTCTCCTGTGGTTTAAACCACCATCTTTCTCGTTAGCAGCTGGGTCGGTCCTAAGCGCCGTGCCACTGTTGTTAGGTGCTGTTGGGGCAGTTCCGACTCAGGGACCCAATGGACCGCAGAACAGAACGGAATGTCGCCGCCCGGCCCTGCCCGTCCTCTTTCGTTTGTTCTTCTGTTGAGCCCGTGGTGGCAGCCACTGTGCCCATCATCTTGTCGAGGGCCTTCCTCTTTCTCGCTGCCCCTGCCTTACCAGGCACGCCGCCTTCCTCCAGGGACCCTTCTGATAACCTGTCCAAGACATGGAAGACAAACCCTGTCCATCCTCGTATCTTCCTTATTCAGTGTCCAGCTTTCACAGGT